CAGACAACGACAGAGGCACAGAGAAGTTAAGGAACCTGAGGCCACACGGTTTGTAAGCGCAGAGCTGGTCTGTGAACCCAGGCCATCTGGCCCCAGGATCTTTGCTCTCGGTTATTACCTCCTATTGCCTCTGATAAAGGCCCCCTGGACAGGGCGAGTTGCAGCGCCTCCTCTGGCTTTTTATAGCCATCAAAGTCATTTCAAAAAGCTGTCTGGGGCGCCTGGGTGGCTTAGTCGGTTGAGCGTCCGACTTTCGCTTAGGTCATGATCTCGCGGTTCGTGGGTTCGAGCCCCGCGTCGGGCTCTGTGCTGACTGCCAGCTCGGAGCCTGGAGCCTATTTCAGAGTCTGTGACTCCCTCTCTCTCTGACCCTCCCCTGCTCACGCTGTCTCTCTCTCTCTCTCTCCTAGAAATAATAAAAAAAAAAAAAAAAAAAAAAAAAAGCTGTCTGTAGCATGCACCCTCTCTGCCAGGCACCGGGGTCGGGCAGGCACTTTGTAGAGCGGCTCCGCACTCCCCACAGAGCTGCCCGGCACAGGCAGAGCCTCAGGGATCCAGACACCCAGTGGGTCCTTTCCCAGGTCTGGATCTGGACTTGCTCCTAGAGACTCCCACCTCTCGGGGTGTCTCTAAGGCTTGAAGGAGACCTTTCACTGCTCTGCCCGGGGACACGGGACACACCGCTGCCCGCGCGCCCGCACACGTGGTCCTCGTACAGAGGAGGCACTGGGCACCAGGATAAGGGCTTTCCCCCCTCCAGCTCTGATCTTACAACAATCCACAGGATGTATTTTACGTTTCCTTTTATGGGAAAGGAAACCGAGGCTCAGAAAGTTGAAGTCGCTGTGTCTAAGACCATTCAGGGGTGGCCAATCGGGGTTCAAACCAGAATCTTCAAGGCCTCCACCACTGCTTTATTCTGTGGGTGTCCGCTCTGCTTTGAACATCATGGTTCTCTGCCAACCTCACTTGTCCAGTCACCACATGCGTTCAGGGTGGATCGAAGAAAGGGACATCTCTATTGCTGCTGGCAGTTCCCGCAGTCACCTGTCTTTGGACAGGCAGAGACTGGCTTCGGTATAAACACCGGGGCCTCCTCAGTGGCTGATGTCCCCCAGCGTGGATGAGTGTGGGGGCGAGGGGACGGTCAGGACTCTGCTTTCTTCCTGCCGCCAGCAACACTTGGAACTAGCCGGGGGGGGGGGCGACCTGTGCTCCCTGCCTCCCAGCCGACCCTGGAGGGGGTCTGGCCCCAGGCAGAGATCTCTTAGCGCTTCTGTTCACTCCAAAATATCTTTTCACAAAGGAGCTGGGTCCTAATTCACTTCTGAGTATACCTTTCTTTTACTTTCACTTGGTTTTCTTGGGGTCCCAGGGGGACAGAAAAAGAGACCCAACTACTGCATCTCCCAAAGCTACAAGGTTTAATACTGGGGCAGATCTTAACCCGAGGGTAACGGGATCTTCCCCCCGCTGTCATGTGCACAAGGGACATGCTTTTGCACACACACTATGCTGCCTTCATTCTCAGGGATTCGTGCACCTTAATAGACGGGAGGATGACCTGAAGAATCACCCTCAAGCTGTAAATTCTGCAAGCCTGACTTTGTCTCTAAGCTGCTGAAGTGACTGGCTGGTACTTCTGACACGCATTTCCTTCTAAGAAGGGGAAACAAGTTCATAAAAATGGGGTCTGTCTGCAGGATTCTTAGCTTCTGCTGTACTGTATGTTCTCCAAACAGACCAATCCAGCTCTTGCCTCTTTGCCTTTGCACATGCTGTTTCCTGGCCTGGGAATACCGGCTCTCTCTGGTACTTCCTTCCCATCCCCCCCAGCACATCCTTACTCTTTCTTTCTTTTTTAAAATTTTAATGTCTTTATGGGGCGCCTGGGTGGCTTAGTCGGTTAAGCGTCCGACTTTCGCTTAGGTCATGATCTCGCGGTTTGTGGGTTCGAGCCCCGCGTCAGGCTGTGCTGACTGCCAGCTCAGAGCCTGGAGCCTGTTTCAGTCTGTGACTCCCTCTCTCTCTGACCCTCCCCTGCTCACGCTGTCTCTCTCTCTCCTAGAAATAAATAAAACATTAAAAAAAAATAAAAAAAAATTTTAATGTCTTTCTTTAATACCCAGCTAAACTGGTTGGTCCCTGGATTTTGACCCAGGGCTCCCCGCGCCGGCAAGCAAACTGTTTTCCCTCGTGTGAGTCTAAACTTCTCCATCGGGTAGCATGGCTTCAATTCGAGAGGCCCTGGGGACTTCTGGCCCTGGGGGCATGCTTGAAAAAAAAAACGTAAAGAAAACCAAACTGGCTTCCCTGAGTCGCCCCTGTTGGTAATTACATCCTTTCACCAAGAGGAGTGACTTCCTCCTCGGGGCCAAGGAGGAACGGCAGAGGGGTCAGGACTGAAGACACATCAGTCCATCAAGATGCCTGGCTGCGAGCCGCGGGTTCAAGCGACACCAATAAAGCCCCCACTAAGCACCTGGTGTTTTTACTTCAAACTCCCATATATGCTTGTCGATTTGGTATCTTCCTTGGGATGTGTCACAGATGCTTCAACCCCGGTGTGCCCACCACGGAAGGAGGAGTTTCCCCTCTGCATTTGCACGTCTGCCCTGCCTGCCCGTCTCCGAGACTGGCTCTGTCACCCTGGTCAGGCCAAGCCCACCCAGGACCCTCAGCTCTGACTCCTCTCTCTCCCCCACCCCCCACATCCAACCCATCAGGGGCCCTCTTGGCTTTACCGCCATCCCGAAGCCCATCTCCTACCAAATTGGTCCAACCCATCTTTCTTCTCTTGCTGCCACAACTGAATGATCTCTCGGCTGGTCTCCCAGCCCCCACCACTGTCCCCCCTCCCCCCCCATCGCCTGTCCTCCACGCAGCAGCCAGAGTAGTTCTTTGAAAACATAAGCTAGATCATGCAAGCCTTTCCTGTTTACTGCTCTCTGGCTCCAAGGTTGTCCACGACACTCAGAATAAACTCTGATGTCCAGGAAGCGTGCCTGGCCCACACCTCCACCTCCAGACGCAACTATCCCAGCTGCCCCAGTGCTTTCACTCATTAGCTACGGTCACTGTGGCCTTCACACTACTTCCCACCCCAGGGCCTTTGCATGTGCTGGTCCCACCTCCCCACATCTCCACCTTGACTGGCTTCTGTCATCATTCAGGCCTTGGCTCAAGTGTCACCTCAGAAGCCTTCCCTGACTCCCTTGTGAATGCTGACGCCCAATCCTACCGGCCTCGCCCCCATCACTATCACATCTCATGGGTTTATTTTCTTTACACCCTTTTCATTAAATGAACTTTCTCATTGATGGATTTGTTCGGTTGTTTACTGTTGACAGTCTGAGGATTGAAGGTGATACACGGTGTGTGTGTGTGTGTGGGGGGGGTGTTCCCTGCCCTCGCGGAACATGGAACGAACATTCTAAGGAGATCTTGAGAGAAATCTACTCTTGGCTTTTGAACTACAAGAGCCAATAATTTCCTTTTGTTTTTTTGCTAAAGCAGTCAGGTTTTGCTATTTGCAGGCAGCCCACTCTTTATTGTATTAGGCTCCATAACTACTTGCCGAATTTGATTACCATGTCTGTTCTGTTGTTTTGCTCATTCGTTCTCTCCCTCTTTTCCCCCAAGACATGAGAGGTCATTGCAAAGGGAGCCTGCACAGTGCGTCCGGCTAAGGGGACAGTTCTGGGCCTGATGGCTCACGGAAGTCCCCACTGCACCAATGTTCTCTTTTGCCATCGATGAGTTTCCATATAGATCCTCTCTCTAAAATGGGTGTTGGACGGAGAACGCCAATTCCATTTCACAGATGGGAGGGCTGAGGCCCACATGGCTTGCCTGGGCTGCCTGGAACACAAGGCTGTTCACTTCGGCAAGGATTTCCGCCTCTGGGAACCCAGGGCCTGTAGACTGGAAAGGAAGACCTGTATCCTTTCCTGATCATAAACACGAGTTGTGCTCTTGGCCAACCAGGACAGTTCTGGAATTCTAGCCTTCACAGTTCTACCTCACAGGCTAGTCCCAGGGCGTTCCGGTTCCAGGAAAAAAAATATTCCTGCTAAGGTAGATAGAAGTGTTCTTTGACCCACAGTATAATTTTGGGTTCCCTTCATTTTCCAATCTGTGAAACCAATAATGCACATACAACTTACAAAGCCAGAAGTTCCCACATGAATCCTCTTATCAACCCAAAGAACCCTTCACCTGGGAGAGAGCTCCTTGCTCTTTCATCAGAGGTAAGTAATGCATTCTATTTCCCTCCTTGCCTTGCCTACCAGGAAGCTCAGAGATTAACCTCCGAACTTAACTGCAGTAGTTGGCCTGAGCCGGATATTTTTGTACAGTGCTGTACCCTTAGCTTTCTATTCCTCTGCCTTTGCTTTAATAGCTCAATTTTAAATGTGTTTTTTATTTGAAGCTCTTCTCAAATCTTTCTGCCACAGGCTGGGCGTAAACAAAGGATTCAAGTTTATTTCTGACACCGTCCTCTGCCTTTTCCTTATCTCCTTTGCCAGTAAATAAGTATGGTCCCTCTGTGTGCGCTCTGTCTTCATAAAACATGTTTTCAGGGGAATGTAAATTGTTTTTAAAAGCTTCCAGATGCCGGTTTACTGCTAATTCTTACTGACCCATGAGGATCTGTACTAATTTGCCTTAACAAACTTATTAAATAGCAAATTTCGGGAGGAGGAAACTACACAGTCTTTATGGGCCAAAACAGCAAACCAGCGGTGGACATCCCCACCAGGGCAGAGAGCCTTCCCGCGGCTGCACACGGAAGTCGGGGAGGTCAGCTGGTCAAGCGTGTTTTCAATAAACCGGTGCTGGCCACCGTGTTGTGGCTTCTTAGGGGGTTGTCAGCAGAAGTTTCTAGCCTTCAAAGGGAAAAGGAAAGACCGAAAAGGAAAGAGCAGCATCTCTTCCCCTGAAACGAGACGCAGGCCATTACAGACAGCGACTGGGACACGAAACGGACAGTTCCAAACCTCCAGGTCATTGAAGAACAGGTGCGTATCTGCAAGGTTGAAGATCATTTCTTCCATCATCAGGCCGATGCGCACGGATGTCGTGGTGTCCTGGAAGAGAGAGAGGGCAAAGTCACATGGTGGCGGGGCCTCCCCATGTCCCATCCGGTCACTGTGAGGCAGCCCAGGTCGGTGCTGATGGGCTCACACGCGGCCGAGGCTGTGTCACCCCGTGGAGTCAGGCGATGACGCTGCACGGCTTCTGGAATGTCACTTCTGGGTGTCCCTGACTTCTGTTTGCCCTCTTTAAAACTGCAGCTTCACCGCCCCCCTCCCTCCCCCCCAAAAAAACCACGCCTGCAACTGCTACTGTGTTCAGCGTTGCCGGATTCAGGACTGATGGCAATCCAGGAGGGCCCCTCGGCAGATGTGTTTCCAATGCTTCCTTCTCGGCCTTCCTGCTTTCCCGGAGGCCTGGAGGACTGCAGGGAAGTGGTGTAAACTACGTAAACCCACTCTCCCGAGCTGGCCTGTCGATTCTCTCTTTATGACAGTCTCTCTACGGATGCCGTCTCGCCCCTCCTCACACATGAAGTCTCTCTGTTATCTAACAAACAGATTAATTACAAAAACGAGCACGTAGGGGCACCTGGCTGTCGCAGTCCATTAGGAGTCTGACTCTTGATTTCTCTCAGGTTGTGGTCTCATGGTTCATGTGAAGGAGCCCCGTGTCGGGCTCTGCGAACCTGCTTGGGATTCTCTCTCCCTTTATACCCTTCCCCTGCTCTCTCTCTCAGGAATAAATAAATTTTTTTTATTATGTTTCATTTTGAGAGAGAGAGACAGAGTGTGAGTTGGGGAGGGGCAAAGAGAGAGGGAGACAGAATCCGAAGCAGGCTCTGGGCTCTGAGCTGTCAGCACAGAGCCCGACACGGGGCTCAAACCCACAAACTGTGAGATTCCATGACCTGAGCCGAAGTCGGATGCTCCACTGACTGATCCACCCAGGTGCCCCTCTCTCAAGAATAAGTAAGTAAACTTAAAAATAAAAAAAAAAAAAAAGATGAGCACACAAACCAAACCCCATTATGGTCCATCCATACCCTGGACAATGAGGCTACTTTATCAAAAAAGTGAGGTCATGCTAGAGTCACTTGACACTACCTCCACGGCATTCAGCAACAAAAGCAGACCGCACCGCGTTATGTGTGAAACCCAGCTGTGCAATGGAAGTGTCCCTTCTGTCTCCCCAACCCCCCCCCTTTTCTATACATGCTGAGGCAGACTGCATTACTGATCACCCATCTTGGGGTCCCTTCCTGGAGAGCTTTGCCCTTTAGGAGGTGGGGTCCTCACTGGGGGTTAGTCCCCTACCCCCACGGGCCCCATCTGGCCCTGGCTGCTTGTTTGTGTATGGCTTGTGAGCTAAGAACAACTTTTTACATTAAAAAAATGTTTATTTGAGAGAGAGGTAGAGCACACGCATATGGGGGAGGGGCAGAGAGTGGGAGACAGAGGATCCGAAGCGGCTCCATGCTGACAGTAGTGAGCCTGACGCGGGGCTTGAACCCACAGACTGTGAGACCATGATCTGAGCTGAAGTTGGACGCTCGACCGACTGAGCCACCCAGGCGCCCCGACTTTTTTACACTTTAAAGCAGTGTATTATTGTCTGTGGTGGCTTTCGTGTTCTGAAGGCAGAGGTGAGCAGAGCCCGAGATATCTGCTATCTGACCCTTTGCGGGAAAGGTCTGCCGGCCCCTGATACATGCCCTCCCTGCTGAACTCAGATGTGACCACGTGACTTGTGTTGACAGAAGTCCTGCTTCATTTCTGGTCAGAAGCGTTCAGAGCAAGCGTACGGTTGGTCAGTCTCTCTCTTCCCAGCTGACAAGGCTAACTGTTCCCGAGGCCGGGGCTGTGGGTCAGAGCTGCAGCAGATCAGAATGGGCACATGTACCATGAAGGAGAAGCAGATGAGATCTGGGGGGATGTTTGTTACTGCAGCACAGCCTCACACGTCCCCACTGATACACATGAAAAACACTCGGCACGATGGTTCTCAACTCTGGCTGGGTGCCATCACGATTATGAGCATTCAAAAATCCTGGCACTAGAGGGCGCCTGGGTGGCTCAGTCGGCTAAGCCTCTGACTTCGGCTCAGGTCATGATCTTGCGGTCCGTGGGTTCGAGTCCCGCGTTGGGCTCTGAGCTGACAGCGCGAAGCCTGGAGCCTGCTTCGGATTCTGTGTCTCCCTCTCTCTCTGCCCCTCCCCTGCTCATGCTCTCTCTCTCAATAATAAATAAGCATTAAAAAACAAACAGAACAATAAAAATCCTGATGCCCGAGGCCCCACCACAGACCAATAAAATCAGAATTTCTGAGAGTGGGGTCTAGGCGTTGGGAATGTTTAGAGCCCCCTACGTGATTTCAACATGTGGCCAAGGTTAAGAACCAAGGTCTAAAAGGACCTACAGCACTTAGTGATATTCCCAGTCCATATCTGTTAAGTGCTTTCTCTGTGCCACTTTACAAACGAGTCCATTTAATGCCCACAGAGACTGAGGAGTCAAACATTATTATCTTCCCATTTTACAGATGAGAAAACTGAGGCCCCAGACGGTCAGGTAACTGGCTCCAGGCCCTGCAGCTAGTGAGTGCTGGGATTTGAACCCGCGTCGTGTGGCACCAGAGCAAAAGTGCTTCTGAGGAGGGCTTGGTGGGGGGTGGGGGGGGTTGAAGGAGGCACGCAGGGGACCCTGTGCTGTCACTGCATACTCTTCTATCCCTGTTTGAATGTTTTACCGGGAGGCTGTTATAAAAATAAATATAAATAATGAATGACGTAAACCCTTCTTAACCCTTAAAGAGAAAGGGAAAAACACTTCACTGGTGATCTCAGCTTCACACACAGAACTGTGAAGAATCAAGCCCAGGAACGCAGCCAGTAGGTGAAACCTCATCAGGGCCCCAAAAGCCAAAGCTTAGCGCGCTGGGTCCTGGCTGGGGTGGGGCCCTCAGTGAGAAATGAAGATGAGGAAAACGAGCGTTTCAGGGCCAGGTGGGGAATCACGGTGTGGCCCGGGAGAGGGTTTTGGGGGTGTCTGCACACACCACTCATCCCCGAACCGTCTCCCTCTGCCCGATGGCACGTTCCTTCCTGGGGAGGCTGCGCACCTAACTGCGGATGAGGGCCCTCGCGGTACTAGACAGGAAGGGGGATGCGGCCATCCTCGCTTGGCCGCTGGAGGGGTTTAGGTAGAAAAACATCAGCCCCCAGACCAGCACATTAAACTGGAAAAGTGATTATTGCCTATGGAGTGGGCTGTCTGGGCTGTCTGTGAAACGTATTTTGCACGGTTAGAAGAAGGCAAATACTCAGCATCAATAAAGCTGGGATTCCGTCCTATCGCTACTAGCAGGGTGTGGAGAGAAAGTCTGCACGTGTGCGATGGGGGCCAGGGCGAGAAAAGAGAGCTAAGTTCTCATCTTCTAGCCTGGGAGGCCAGGGAGCATGCCTCAAACAGGAAAAAAAAAACAAACAAAAACATTGAGAAGCAGTACCAGAAGCAGGCTACTTAGAAATTTGGAGGTAAGTAACCAGAAGAAACAGCACGAGTAGAAAGTTGTGGCCTCTGGGCAGAAAGAAAGGGTGTGGTGGGGTCCACTGGGGACTGCAGTTTCTCATAACGGTTTCCTTTGTAGAACTACGAGAGTTTTAAACTATATGCATATATTTCACGGATTAAAAAAAACTATATTAAAAATAAAAGGGAACATGGGGCGCCTGGGTGGCTCAGGCTGTTGAGCATCCACCTCTTGGTCTCGTTGAGGTACAGATCTTGCGATTCGGCTCGTGAGTTTGGGCCCTGCATCTGGCTCCTTGCAGAGCCTGCTTGGGATTCCTTTTCTCTCCTTCTCTCCCTGCCCCTCCCCTGCTCGCATGTTCTCTCTCTCAAAATAAATAAATAAACTTAAAAAAAAAAATAAAGGGAACATACTTAGTAATTCCACTTCTCCTTACCTACTCTAGGGAAAAGCCCATACCGATGAATTAGGGACATGTAAAAAGATAGAGTTGTTAGTAAATAGCAAAAGATTGAACAATTTAGCTGTCTGGCTGAAGGGGACTAGAAAAATAAGATGTGGTCTACTCGTTTGGTGGAAAACTGAATTCAGGGGAAAGAAATGAACCACATCTCCACGTATTAACATGGACACGCCCCCTCCCAATAATACTGAGTGAAAGCAACCGTTTTCTGAAAGTTATATACTGCATGTTATTAGCATTTACTAGAAACACATAAAAGCTACTACAATTTTTTCCATAGGCATGTATATATTTATATGTATCTGAAAGGATGTACCAGGGTCTGAACCGTAACCACTTCTGGAAGGCAGAAAGTGGGGGGACAGGAATTAAATAAAGATAAGGATGAAAGTGAATTTTAGCACGAGCTACAATATTCTCAAATGTTTTGAAAGAGAAAGGATTCACGTATAGTATAATTAAAAATTAAAACAAACTTTTAAAGACGCCCAAATGTTTCTGAGGAGACCCTCTGGCATACCCATCTATTCCTTGATAATTCTCTTCATTGCAGAGTCTCCTAAAATCTGCTTGGGTGCTGCCTGGAGGTTTTGAACTCTGTTGGTGGGACCTCTTTCCAATGAATTTGATAAAAACTAGTGGTGCAAGGGTAGAAAAGTCTGGAATAGTACAATGGTTAAGTAACACAGAGTGTGACCCTGGGCCAGACCACTCTATCTGAGTAGAGAATGTTTTTCCAGGACTGCAAAGGCTGGGAAACTGAGAAAAAATAATTGGTGGGGACTCAGCACTAATGAGTGTGAAACACACCCGGGGTGAGGGCAGGAGGGAAGCCGCTGGTTTTGTCTCGTGTCACCGGCTGAGCACGCCCCTCACACACTCCATAAACACACCACCCTGGTCTGTTGGCTTTAGTCACCCTGTGCTACTTGGAGGGGGAAATCCTCTTTCTGATCCAGCAAGTCTCTTTGGCAAATAAATCCTAAAATACAAAAGCCTTCACACCGTGTTCTTCAGCTCCTAACAGGCCACCGACCCATTCAAACCCACTCTGATCCC